CACTTGTGATCCCAGCACTTTGGGAGGCTGAGATGGAAGGATTACTTGAGCCCAGGAGTTTGAGACTAGACTGTATTTGAGACCCCATCTCTGCAAAAAAATAAAAAATTAGCTGGGTGTGATGATGTGTGCTGGTGGTCCCAACTATTCAGGAGGCTGAGGTGGGAGGATCACTAGAGCCCAGGAGGTCAAGGCTGCAGAGAGCTGTGATTGTGCTACTGCACACCAGCCTGGGTGACAAAGCGAGACTCTGTCTCTCAAAAAAACAAAAAAAAAAGATATAGGATTCCTTGGTTGTTTATGTTTCTTAGAATGCCTTTCTTTCTGCATTCAAAAGAAGTCTGGTTCTAACAGAAAGCTCGGTTTCTTGGAGCTATCGACACTCCTGCTAACTTGATCACATGAGTAACACACTTACCTTGCACTCACTTTGAGTCTCACTGAACTCCCAGGCACAGTAGGTCCCCCAGAATTCTGTGTTCATTGGCCGTGATGTGCACTATCTGCAAATGGGGCAACAAGGAAGCAGACACACATGATGTGCATATCTCTTCTGCTCACGTGCATGCTCCACTGTCCCAAAAGACTTCACTTACAGAACAAGTTCAAAGAAATAAAATTATTAACTCTATCAAGATGGTGACAGCAAAGCATCAAATCAAGCGTGGGGGCTTTCTTTGAGGGGTTGGGGGGTGGTCCTAGGTAACCATGAAGCTGGCCCTGCCCATTTGCTTCTTACATTAAGTTCATTCCATGCAGGCACAGCTTCTCCAGGATTCTGATTAGTCATAATTCCTGAGGAAATTTACAAAATGACACTAGTGAGACAAACTACAGCTTCTAGCTGCTGCAGTTGGTCCCAAGGCTATAATTGATACCATCTCCCTCCCTCCTCTCTACACATTCTAGATTCCCCTCATCCTCAACTGGTACTTCTGAGATGACTCACACTCTCATCCCTCATGGGCTGGAGGCCCTGCATTGCATGCCTTATCAGACCACATGTATGGGAGCACCAAAGATGCCCCAGTGGATCACCTCAGTGCCATACATATTCCTCATGTCCCAATGATATAGCCACAGCCCTATAGTTATGGTAATTCCTTCTTGTGACTACTGGTCGGCTGGCATGAGGAGCCCAAGAGACCATGTAGCAGCCATAGCTTTAAGATTAGCAGAAGGAACTCTGTCCCCCTCCAGGAATCAAGACCTCTAGACCCACAGAGTGGTAACATTACAGTGACAAGAAGCCCAGATTCCCATGGTTACTGGGAGTGATAGTGGGCATGGCTAATCCTACTTGGTTCTCCTAAGCCCATGTATTCTGCCTATTAGGGACACAGCATCAAATAAATGCCTTGATTTAAGGAGTACATAACATCCCAAAGAGCACTGGCCCATCTCTTTGGGCTTCATTTCCAAGTTTGTGAAGCTAATGCTTCAGCTGCATCTTTAAGCGGCCCCAATGCACTGCCATCTCAGGTCAGCATCTTCCAGGTAGTATGGTTTGCGTAAGGGCAGTGAATCCCAAAATCACATGACCACTGCTGAACTTCTTTTGCTGGAAAGTGGATCTATTGTGCAGAGGAGATATTATATTTTCCCATAGTGGTGAATTAGACACTCAGCCCTCAAAAGGGTGCTGGCCAAGGCCACAGAACAGCTGGTTCTCACTATGGGAAGTCATGTGATATCACCTTGGCCCGAGGCACCCACTTCACTAGCCCTCAATGTAGGGGACTAATGTGGTATTTCATAGAATATATTGATGGTCCAGATCCTTTTGGGCTATATTGTGACAGAGAACAAGAGAAGTAAGTAGGCCTGGAGCAAGACTGTGAACATACCCTCTTGCCCTTCCCAAGTATTCTCCTCAGCACCCTCAGACTACAGAAGGAACCCACTTGCCCTTGTTGGAAAATAGAGCACCACCATTCCACCCCAACACATTTGCAGACAATATAGAAACATCAAAGGACTGCAGATGTTTCTTTTTCCTTACAAGTATGGAAGAGAAAACATTTTTGCATATCAATATCTACATAGCATGTTCCAGAGGCTGTATTAATCTGCTCTAGTAAAGACACTCCATCCAACCCAACAGCTGCAAGTAGGACTATACCTTGATTAAATTTGTGGTAATTCCATCTGGCAGTGATCCATCCAACAACTGCAGAAACAAGACTGGTGCCTTAAATGGGGATATGTTGAGAACCACCACCCATTCATCCTTTAAGTCTTGAGAGTGGCACTCTGAGGATGCCCCTGATTTGCAATAGTGTTTTTATGTACTGTCTTGGTTTGGGGTTGGGGCTCATTTTACGGGATTTTACTTGGTCTTTTCCTACTACAAGAGGTCTTAACCCACAAGTCAAAGAACCAGTGCCAACTGCAAAGCAGATTCATTCCATTATATACTCAAGAATTGAAGAAAATTATCAATAGGTGGTTCTGTAAATCCAGTGAAGTCACTATGAAAGGCACCTAGCCCAGCAGTCCATTTATAGGACCCACATACGTCCCTATTCTAACAACGGGATCATGGTGGCACTTTGGATACCTGGTTATCAGCATAAGCTCAGATCCTGTATCCACTAATACTGAAAGATTATGGGTATACCCCCTTCCCCAATAGACAGTTATCTTTATATAAGTAATTGACCTAGGCTGATAATTCAGCCACTTCTCTGAAGTTCTGCAACTCTTACAATTAATGTTTGTGAAGAATATTCAGCTCTTCTTGCCCTCTAGTTTAAGGAGATGAGAGTCTCTTTAAACATGCCCCAGGGAGGCCCTCTGATTCTCACACTTTGCTTTACATTGGTGATTGATTGTCCTGACCCTGTCATTTTCTCTCATCAAAGACATTCAACAACAGCCACCTATTTCCACAGTTCTTACTGGAACATCAAAGGATGTGGATGCCTCCCGTATCTTTCAGTGCCAGAAATACTGCTCAAGTCAGTGCCTCCCCTTCCCTGCCTGTATTCTGTCCCATTTCTCCACAGGTGACAGTTTTAGCAATTGTATCACTACTTCATGCCAGGGATCATCTGTGCATGTCACCCACCATGGTCCTCACTGCCAGCCAAACAGTAAATTATCCACCTCCAGAATTGCATCTTAGGATCTACTTTTAGGTAAACTGTCTGGCATTAATTATGTCAAGTCAGGTGCCCTAGGAGAGCCTAAGATGGGATTCAATTGCATGTGATTTTTCAAGGAAATGTTCTTCAGGAATACTCTTAAGAGAGTGAAGGATAAAAGATAGAGAAAAGGAAAGAGCGGAACGAGACGTGGTCTCAGGTAAAACAAACCTTGAATTGATCCTCAGAGGAGCTCAGGGGCATACACTGCAGGCAAAGTTGTCCTGCCACTTGAGACAACCTGGTCAGCCTTGTCTCAATCAGTCATTGGCTGTGAGCTCCCAGAGGTAGTGTTGGGTGGTTAGGGAGGGAGATATGAAAGAGCAATCCTCCAGAGCAAGGCTCAACTGTGAGCTGTCAGCAGCCACACACACAGCAACTGGGAGATGGGTGCACCAAACAGCTAAAGGAGATTTGGGAGGGGTACCTACAGTGTCTACTGCAATTGCAAGGGTATTTTATATTATTTTATTTTATTTTATTTTATTTTATTTTATTTTATTTTATTTGAGACAGAGTCTCGCCCTGTCACCCAGGCTGGAGTATAGTGGCATGATCTCGACTCACTGCAACCTCTGCCTTCCAGGTTCAAGTGATTCTCCTGTCTCAGCTTCTGAGTAGCTGAGACTACAAGGACACACCACCACTCCTGGCTAATTTTTGTATTTTTAGTAGAGATGGGATTTCACCATGTTGGACAGGCTGGTCTCTAACTCCTGACCTCGTGATCCACCCACCTTGGCCTCCCAAAGTGCTGGGATTACAGGCCTGAGCCACTGCACCCAGCCTCACAAGAGTTTTTTTTTTTTATTTTTATTTTTTTAATGTTTGAAAACCATTGCATATGGATGACTTTACATATACTTCTGTCTATTAAAACCCAATCTGACAGTACAATTTCTCATTTACATTTCTGCCTCAGATGCAAGATTCTAAACTCCTCTGTGGCAGAGGCTCTGTCCTATTTATTTTGCATTCCTAATTCAGGAGCTGGCACATAATTGTTACTAACCATTTATCAAATGAAGGGCAGTTTGGGGTAGATCACAGAGCCACTAGAACTCCAGGCTAGGTAACTTGGGCGTTATTCTGTTGGCAGTTAGAAAGAGTTTGAGATGCCTGGTTGGCAGCAGTACATGATATGTATTGGACCAAAGAGAGAGAAGAGAACAGTGCCAAGAGACTATTGCAGCAACACAGGCAAAAGTAACAAGAGGAGGAATTTGAGCGGAGGCTGTGAGTGTGGAGAGGCAGATGCAAAAGTAATTAAAGAGGTATTATCTACAGGGTCCAGATGGCCTCAGGCTGACATCCAGTATAGAGACCGTCAGGGATTCTAATTAATCATGTTAGGAGTTTTATACTTACATGCTCCCAAGCAGATAGAAGAGGAGCATTTCTCATTTTGCATGGAAGAAATATCTAGAAAATAAATCCATGTGGGTTTTCTCATTGTCATGCCCAATTAGGCAAAATCCTTAAAGTGGGCATGGGAATAGCCTCCATATTTTGGGCAGAACTCCACAGTCATATCTGAGAAAACCCAAGGTTATCCATGTGGAATTTGCTCAGTTCATTAGCACAAGGGGTACTTAAAATTAAAGTTGCTTCCCGGGACACTGCTTTCAAATCAATCATTCTATAAAGTAACATATGTTCCAAAGCTGCAGTATTAGCACATTATTCTCAGCTGAATTCTGGACTGTATTCTGCTTAGAATAATTCATCTGTGACTCATATGAATCATATACACACCAGGAAATACAGGGGGTGGTGCAGTGGGGGACTGGTTTTCTTGAACTCTTTCAGGCCTTGATTGTAGGCAAAGCTGTTTACATTCCTCTCCCATTTTAGGGCTCAGAAACTTTTGGCCAGAGTCCTGCTGTTCACATTGTTTTAGGAGAGCCAGTTCCTGGGAACCCTGTTACATGGACTGGACCTGGATTTGCCAGGGTTCTCCCTGGGGCTGGCTTGAGATTTGCTGTCAACAACATTCCCTTTCCTGTGGACTTCACCATTGCCATTCGCTATGAAACCCAGGTATCCTTTAACTCTCCAACTTCGGTGGTGAAAAGCTGACAGAAATACATTCTTGAACTGTTTCCATTTCAGCCTTGCTAGAATAGGTTCATCAGAAAAAGATTTGTAAAAAGCGAACATCTGGGGAGCGTTATAAAGCTGGTTTCTTAAAGATATTGAAGCAGCACAGTGACCCATATGCATGCATGTTGTAGCCCATGGAGAGAAGCTACAGTTGGAGTTATACATTTAAGGTACCAGGTTTAAGGAAGTGGTGACTGTTTGTATAAGAAAAATAGCCAAAATAACACAAATCCTGCCCTCCTGGTACTTTTCTTGTAAAAATTTAATAAACCAGCACATGTGCAGAGATTCAGACTCACAGGTGATGCAGCAGAGGCATTTGTTTGCATTTGGATCTTACCCTGCAACAAGAGAAAGACCAAAAGCAAACTGCCCCTCTTGTTTCCCACTACTAGACCCCCTGCTGCCTGCCTTTTAAGAAATATCTAAAACAGAATACAAGCCAAATTAGAAAAATAGTTGATTTACACCAATAGTTCCTAACCTTCCTTTGGATTTGAAACCCACTGAACATCTCCTTTGAAACATGTTTGATATGGCTGGAGGGGGTGTGGTCTTAGAGGCTCCCAAACCCCACTGGGGACCACATTCTGGAGGCTGTCATGGTGCGCCACATGCCCAGAGCAGCTGATCTGCTTTGAAATGCATGATAGGACATAATTCTCTATTTCTCACTTACAAATGAAAGCCAAGGAACGTCAATGAACTTTGGCTCAGTGAATATGATAAGAAAGGCTTTAAAAATAAATATAGATTAATATATCTATAGAGAGAACATGACCCTGACACCTTGAAAAAGCTTTTCCAAATTGTAAGACTTCAGAATAGAGCAAATTTGCATATCTCCCCAATATATAGATTCCTTTTGTAAAAGATTCCAAATTATTATTATTTGTTCTGTGATCCAGAGCCATGATAAACGAGTCAACTCCCTGGGAAACAGGGGTTAGGGATTAGGCTTGTCAGGAGAGCTAAGGTTTTTCCAGACCCGTGAGCCCATGAGAAACAATGCTTTTTCTGCCTGGATCACAATTCAGACATCAAAGAGTTGGGGCCTGGGAGTGAACCTCTAAGACTCTTTCAATTCCAAAACTGTTTGCCAAGTGGCCTATGGGTTGCAAATTCAAGTTCATGCACTTTCCATTAGCTATATGTATGTGCGTGCAAAACATTTTCCTGCGTCCGTGCAGTGACATGCCTTAATGTCATGCCTGTCTAGTCTGCAGCTGACTGGACTGTCCAGATCGTGGTGAACCCCTCTCGAGGGAGTGAGCACTGCGCACCCAAGACTTCACAGTCAAAGCCTCAGTCTTTTGCCTTACCAGCGGCTACCAGGTATGTTTCAGACCCGTCTTCAAACATTGAAAGCTTCTTAGAATTTTGTTCACTTATCAGTAATTTGTATCTGGGAACTAAGTGGGGAAAGAGGAGGACTGAAGAAAACTGTAACATATATTAAGCACTTACTGTGTGCTACACTATGCTTTACATTTATTATCACTTTTAATCTTTATAACAGCTCAGTACAGCAGGTTTTGTCTTTATCAGATGAAGACGAAATTGAGAAGGAGAATACTTAAATGACTTACCGAAAACTCATCGCTAATGTGTAGCAGAACCAGGATTCTAGCCAGGATATCCTGACTCTAAATCTTGAGTGTTCCTTTTCCAGTCCCCAGGTGGCTTTGAAATATAAGAAAGCAAAATGCAACAAGAATAAGAGTAAAACATTCAGCTTGATTACTCTCAATAGATGAGAATCTTTGAGGTAAAAGCCTACTAATATTGAGGCCACTGATTTTGCCCCAATAGAAACTTGTGGCAAAATAATTCTTTTTTTTTTTTTTGAGACAGAGTCTCACCCTGTCACCCAGGCTAGAGTGCAATGGCATGATCTCTGCTCACTGCAACCTCTGCCTGCTGGGTTCAAGTGATTCTCCTGCCTCAGCCTCCTGAGTAACTGGGATTACAGGAGCGTTCCACCATGCCCAGCTAACTTTTTGTATCTTTAGTAGAGACGGAGTCTCACCATGTTGGCCAGGCTGGTCTTGAACTCCTGATCTGGTGATCTGCTCACCTTGGCCTCCCAAAGTGCTGGGATTACAGGCATGAGCTGCAGCGCCCTGCCGCAAAATAACTTTTTTGAGATTTTTTGAGATCCTGTTGATGTTAACATGAGAGATGGGATGAGGACCTCTGTCCCATCCTTTCCCCAGAGTTGTCATAACAACCCATAGCCAATAGTTTCTCAGACTTTGATACTTGGCACAATCGTATGGAAGAGCCACAGAGGATCTGAACGTGACTTTACCGTCCAACCAACCCATCTGTGCTGGTCTAGACCTACACTGGCCTCAGGCCCACAGTGTAGGTCACGGCCCAGCACAAGTGCAATGCTACCAAATACTATGGCCATTTAGCTAATATAATTGTGCTTCTGTGATCTGAATTTTTGCTTTATCGCTCTTAATACAGAATCATGCTGCTTCCCACACCCATCTGTTTAGAACCAGATGTACAATATTTCATAGACGTCTATTTTTCTCAGCCTTTGGAAAGAGAGTCCTACACTCATTCACACGTCCTGGTGGACTCCGTAAGTATCACAGAGCTTTGTGGGTGCTTTCTTCACTACTAAGTACCATTATAACTACTTTTAGACTCACTAGTGAAATATTTCTTTAAAAATGTAAATGTATTTGCTCAATTATAAAAGCCAACTAATAGCATTTGCAAATCTTATATAACAATATGTCCCAGTAATGGTTTGGAGTATTTTACATATTCTTTAATCACAGAAACCCTGTGTGGCAGGTACTTTCATAATTTTACAGGTGATAGAACAGAGGCACGGGGTCACAGAGCTAGTGAGTGAGAAGTTTAGAATCAGAGCCACCCTGCCTGCTTCCACATCCCTGCCCTGAGCCACGACAGCACCCTGGTGGTGTAGGAAATGTGTGGAAGAAATCCAACCACATTAATCATTATCATTTTCTAAGTTCCCATTTTATACATCCTACACTTTTGTATCATTGAAATCAGATTGCTTATACAATGTTGTAGGCCAATTTTTTTCACCTCACACTTCATCATAAGCATTTTCTTATGGTATGTATGCCGTCTTCTTATCTTTAGAAACCATGCATAATATTTCCTGAGTGACTTCTTCCAGCGTCTTTCCCCCACAGAGTGGGGCGACTGGCATTCCTTCCAAACTTCTTACTCTGCACAGCCCTTCAGACCCAGGCTTGTCCCTGGGCAAAGTTGGGCATTGAGTAGATTTACTTAAGTTACTTATCTATTTTCCCTATTCCTGGTCATATAAGTTGCTTCTATTTTTTACTACTATGTATATTTGATACATTTGAAATATACTTATATTGATATATATTACTACTATATATATTTGATACGTATTTTTAAAAATACTTTAAAATATTTTCCTACTTTACCTAAGGTGTTATGGCTCTTGAAATAATTTGTCAAAATATTTTCTGGAACATGTTCCCCAATTAAATTGTTTTTTTCTTTTTTGAGACGGAATCTTCTCTGTCACCCAGGCTGCAGTGCAGTGGCATGATCTTGGCTCACTGCAACCTCTGCCTCCTGAGTGCAAGCAATTCTCCTGCCTCAGCCTCTCGAGTAGCTGGGATTACAGGCACACGCCACCACACCTGGCTAATTTTTGTATTTTTAGTAGAGATGGGGTTTCACCACATTGGTCAGGCTGGTCTCAAACTCCTGACTTCAGATGATCTGCCTGCCTCGGCCTCCCAAAGTGCTGGGATTACAGGCATGAGCCACTGTGCCCAGCCTTCCCAATTAATTTTTAAGATCTTTAGTACTGTATGAAGGTACCAGTTTCATCCCAACTTCAACAGAATTGTATAGAATTGTGTGGGATTTTTAAAAAGTAATTTCATGGATAAAAATAAAATTTCTTTACTAAAATTGCATTTCTGCATATTTGTGAGAATCTTCTAATACCATGACTTAATTGGCAAACTACAGCCCAACAAAGTTTTACTGGGCCACAGCCAGTCTCATTTGTTTATATATTATCTATGGCTGCTTTCAAGCTAAAAGGCAGAGTTTAGTAGTTGCACAGAGACTTCACAGCCACATTTCATCTGGCAACCATAATCAAAGGTGTTATAAATCCTGTACCTAGAGAGCTCTGTAACAGTTCAGGTGAGAGAATCTACCTGGTAAATTCTACCATATTATAGTAGAAATAAAGTAGAAAGTAGAAACAAACTCTTAATTGGGAATTTTAAACTGTCATGATTTCCCTAACCATATAATCCATTTCTCCACTGAGGAGTTTTAAATAGAACCGCACTCATTAACCAACATATGAGTTACAAAGGAAAGAAAATCAAATCTGATAGGTTTAATTTGGGGAGAAAATGCCAAAAATTGGGAACCCCAGCAAATTAAAGAGAAAGGAAGAAATTAATGAAGTCCTAGATCACTAAGGGGTATTACTGTTATTATAATAATCAGGAAACTCAAATTTATAACAGTCGACATACCTTGATTTTTAAATCTATGTCCTAAATATTTCTAAACTTTGTAAATTCCAAAGAGTATCACTTGATGCTGTACTAAAGGTATTCATCCAAATTATCCACTCATTCACTGAGTATATACGGGCCAGAAAATATGCTGGTCCTGGGGTGTAAAATATGGTTCCTTATTAAAAAATAATTCTCAGCCTAATACAGAAGAAATACATGTATATAAAATCATTACAATGATGTTTGATAGATGCAATAAGTAAATAATTTGGAATTAATTTTAAAATATTGCATTTAGATAGGGCATGGTGGTTCACACCCATAATCCCAGCACTTTAGGAGACTGAGGCAAGCAGACCACTTGAGGCCAGGTATTCAAGATCAGACTAGGCAACATGGTAAAATCCTGTCTCTATTTAAAATACAAAAATTAGTCAGGTGTGATAGCACATACCTGTGGTCCCAGCTACTCAGGAGGCTGAGACACAAGAATCGCTTGAACCTGGGAGGCAGAGGTTGCGATGAGACAAGATCACGCCACTGCAATCCAGCCTGGGTGACAGAGCAAGACTCTGTCTCAAAAAAATAAATAAAATAAAATATTGAATTTGATTAGTTTTCAATCGATCATTCTCTTACATATAACTCTGGAAAACCTGAAGCATAAATAAAAGTTAAGAGAATAACCCATAATTGGTAACTGTCAGAAATCTGGGAAAAGGCCCAGACCTGTTTTAGGTCAGATTCCCTAAAGCGGAAGCTGAGACAGGGACTCAGGTTGATGTGATTTACTGAGGGTGTGTTCCTGAGAGGAGAGGAGTGAGGAAAATAGGGGAGGACAGGGGAAGGAACCAAGCAAGGATGTGATCTCCACTGAAGTGTGGCCTCAGGCTGATCCCACCTGGAGCTCTGGAGCCTGGATTGCACCACACAGTTGAACCTCCCTGGAGGCAAAGGGATGCCTTATATATGCCCAGCTACAGGTTCATCACCACCACCATCTGCCCCACTGTGAGTGCATAAACCCCTGGACCAGGTGGCTGAGTGCAGTTTTCTGAAGAAGGGAACAGCTGTGAGGTTTGAGGAGCCAGTGCCACACCCACTACAGGATGAGTACACCAGCCTGCCAAGGCAGACCTAGGCCGGGCACCTACAGTATGCACTATGGTCTCTGACCCAAAATGTCCAGGAGGAGAAAGTCCTTGCACATTTCATTGTTACTGACTAACATGATTAATGCCATACAACCAATTTTGTTGCTGAGGGAAGATAAGATACTTGACTGCTTGGGATGCAGCCCTTTCAAAGTTGATTCTTTTCTGCAGCCAGATTAACATTTGCATCTAAGACCAGGGGACATTACCAAGAAGACCAAAGGAAACCTTTGTTTAACCACGGTGCTCCTTCTGCATAAATGCCTTTTGTTTGGCAAGCACTGTGAGATCACTGAAATTTGTTTTCAGTTACCCAGATTACATGGTATGTGCATTTATAAAACTGTGTTTAGAGTAAAAAATATATTAGGCATTCTAGAATATAAAACTGCCATTCTTCTTTTTAAGCCATGGAATGGAATATACTTGGTAAACATAAAGTCCTTAAAAGTTTCTAGTAGAAGAAGTGAATCATGGCATTACAAAATCCTATAGCTGGCCAGGTGCGGTGGCTCATGCCTGTAATCCCAGCACTTTGGAAGGCTGAGGTGGGCAGATCACCTGACATAAGGAGTTCGAGACCAGCCTGGCCAACATGGCAAAACCCCGTCTCTACTAAAAATACAAAAATTAGCTGGGCATGATGACATTTGCCTGTAGTCACAGCTACTTGGGGAGGCTGAGGCAGGAGAATCACTTGAACCCGAGGGCAGAGGTTTCAGTGAGCCGAGATCACACCACTGCACTCCATCTAAAACAACAACAACAAAAAAATCGTATAGCTGACAGGGACTCTTGTCATCTGGTGCATCTTCTCAGTTCCCAGAATGGCCAACTCTCAATGGCTCAGACGAAGAGCTGTAAATAATCTCTGGTTGGCTGCCCTCATCCCCAGCCCCAGCCTATCTGGCTTTCTTCTTCATCTCTCCCCACTTGGTTTGTGTTTGGAGAGCACAGAATCATTTTCATATCAACTTAAGAATACAGTAGTAGACCTGTAAATATTCTTTACTGAATAAATTTTTATGAAGCACCTACTATAAATTAGACACTGTGGTAGGCATAAGTGTAAACAAAACATGCATTATCCCTGCCACCCCGGTTCTTATTCACTAAAGGGGAGATGCAGACAACCAGGCAATGAGAGCATGGGGTTAGAGGTCCTGGGAACAGTGACAGGGCAGAGACCCAAAAAGCTCAGTGTGACTCTCGCAGTGGTTCTCAGCCTCATCCGACCCAACCCCATGCCCCCTTTTTAAAAATATTTTTATTATAAATATTTTCTAATATTCCTTACCATCCTGAAATGAAATTCATAGGCACTATAGCCTACCTGCGCACATGACTTCCAAATAACATCAATGTAATATGCTAATATTAATACAAAGAAAAACAAAAGGAAAGTAATGGATAAATAAATCATCAGACTTCAGTATGTTCAAGTACAGGCATGAATACACCAGAATATGCAATGAAGTAGGAAGATGCTCACATAGATAGAATCACTGCAGGGGAGACAGCCATGAAAGCAGGTGTGTTGTAAACATGTTTAAAAAACATAGAGTTAGGCTCTCAACTCAAACTATAAACAGGATTTTCTCCTTCATGAATATCCAATGGAACTTTCAAAAGCTGTAGGGGCCATTTTGTGAGAATGTCCCACGTTTCTGACCGCGACCTGCTAAATGCCTGTAATAAACATCACTCTATTGCTGTGACAACTAAAACCACCTCCACGAATTTCCAAAATGCTCCCTAAAGGGGCAGTACCTCCCATATTCAGGACCATGGGGTTGAGAGGATGAGCAGGAGGAGCATAGCAAAATGAAAAAAAAAAAATAAGTTCAGATTTTTATCCTGAGGCAATGGGATGCCACTGGAAAGTTTTAAGAAGGAGATTATCTGGACAAACGGCGTTTAAAAGGATCACTCTGACTTTAGTGTAGAAAATCGATTGGGTGTGGCAAGAGTGGACACTGGGCCATCTGTTCGGTTGCCACTATAATCATCCAGGTGGCCTGAATTAGGGAAGTGGCAGGGGAACAAAGAGCCATAAATGCACCCTAGAAACATCTAAGAGGAGGAATTGGCCAGGCTTGTGATTTGATGTGTGGGGGACGTGCGTTAGGCAAGAGTGTTGATAGCAAAGAGGCAGGTGTCAAAGATGACCTCCCTCAGTTTTCTCCACTGAGCAGCTTGGCAGATGGTGGCATTGTTTACCAAGAATAAGCACAGAAAGGAAAGTGGGGTTCAGGCATGTTTGTTTTGCAGTGCCTGTGGGGCAACTAATAGGCATTAGATATCAGTGCAGATCTGGAGCCCACGACTGACAGGGGCGCAGGAGATGTAAATTCAGATGCTGGCACCCATTCAGACAGTGGTCCAGTGTGGCCAAGATCACCTAGGAAGTAGGTGTGGAGTTAGGAGGGGGCTGATGAGAGAACCCTGAGGAACTCTAACATTTAGGGATGGGGTAGGGCAGAAGTATTGCATTGGTTTGAAGGGTGAATGGGAGATGAGGCAGGGGTGATGGCAAGGAAATGATTGTTTAAGAAATTTGGCTATCGAGAAGTCAAAGGGCAGAGACAGGGCAGTGGCAAGAGGAATATGTGCGATTGAGGAGGTGATTTTATAGATGGGAGAGACTTGAGCACATTTAAATGTGAGTTGAGAGGAAGAGAGCAAAGAAAGCAAGCATAATTTGCAGAAGAGTTTTGTGAGGTTAGAGGATTTACCAATGGGATACCTCTTCCACTCCAATACCTCTTCCTTCTTGAGCACTAAATGTCCTGGATGGGTGGTAAGACTTGAGAACCTGGAATTTGGGAGGCAGGTAGTAGGAACCTCCAGGCCTTTTGCTGGGGTCTGTTTCCTCTGCGCAGTAAGGAGGTAACAGCATATGCTCAGAGTGCAGCAGAAAGAGGAGACACTGGTAAATACAGTTGACTTTTGAACAACTCGGGGGTTAGGGGCGTCAACCCCCCATGCGGTCAGAAACCTACATTTGATTTTATACTCCCCAAAAACTTAAATACTAATCGCCCACTGTTGACTGAAAGCCTTACCAATAACATACAGCCAATTAATATATATTTTGTATATGTAGTATATACTGTATCCTATAATAAAGTAAGCTGGAAAAAAGAATGCGTTATTAAGAAAATCACAAGGAAGAGAAAATGTTTATATTCATTAAGTGGAAGTGGATCATCACAAAGGTCTTGATCCTCTTCATCTGCATGCTGAGTAGGCTGAGGAGGAGGAGGAAGAGGAGGGCTTGGCCTTGCTGTCTTGGAGTAGTACAGGCGGAAGAAAATCCACATAGAAGGGACCTGTACAGTTCAAACCTGTGTTGTCGAAGGGTCAGCTCTGGTCATCTAGGGTTGTGATGCCACTAGCTGGGTGTGTCAAAGGACAATTAGGGAAAGACTGAAGAGGGTTGAAGTAAAGGGCTATGGAAACTGGTTTCAGGATGGATAAAGCAAAAAGAAGACTAGAGGAGATGTATCTGTGCACAGGTTTAGTCTCCAGACTTTGCCTGCTGAATTAAAACCCACTTTCATGGCTGCTTTTAACACCAATTGTTCAAAATGACCAACTTGATGTTATTACTCTTTCAAATCTAGGCAAACATATTAGCAAGTAAAAAATATGACAGTAAAAAGATAAAGGCTTAATTTTTTTCTTTGCCACAAGTCCAGAAATATAAATATTTAAATATTTCTTCCATAAATTGAAAATCTTAAAAGTCTTCAGTCCTAACCAGCTTAAAGGATTGAGTTGAGTCTTCTTTCAACCATTATTTTCATAGATCTAATTTTTTTATATATATAAGTAGAATCTTACACAGCAGATAGTTTGAATGTTAAGTCTTTTTGCATTCTTTCAAAAGCTTGGCCTTATTCCCCAAATCAATTCATTGGAGAATTTCTGCAGCAAGCAGGACTTAGATGAGTATCAGCTTCACAACTGTGTTGAAATTGCCTCAGCAATGGGACCTCAAGTGCTCCCGGGTGCCTGTGAAAGGCTGATCATCAGCATGTCCGCCAAGCTGCATGATGGGGCTGTGGGTATGTATCTGTTTAATGAACTCTACTGAAGCACTGACATCCATACAAATGCTTTTTAAAGCAAATCAGTTTATGTTAGCATCCACTCCAAACAACAACCAAAATATCCATCACTCAATAATTAGATACACAGAGCGGTCTGCTGATGTGTTGGAATCATAATGCACAGTACAGTGAGTGTGTAAAAGAGAAACTTTGCAGCAGCATTCGTAGGATAGATGGCTAGAACAATGGTCCTAAAATATTCATTTGGAATTCTAGTGCTGGAAGGAACTCCAGACATCTTCTTTTATCCCAAAATATTCATTTAATAAATGAACATATTGGAGCCCAAAATCTGTATGTAACTTACCCATTTTATTTAGCTATGGAAGGATTTTTCTCCCTCAGCACTACTGAAATTTTGAGCTGGATAATTCTTTGCTGCAGGGGCCTGCCCTATGCACTATCAGGTGTTTAGCAGCAGCCCTACAGATCTTATACCAGTACCGCCCTCCCCTAGTTGTGACATCCAAAAATGTCTCCAAACTTTGTCAAATGTCACCTGAGGGACAAAATCATCCTTCAGTTGAGAAGCGTGGCTATAGAGTGACAGCTACAATGACAGTCGAGGCTTCCTGAATGTCAGGCAAGTGCTTTTTCCCTTAGGACAGAGCTATGAGTTCAGGGTACCCACCATCTCATGAAATATATGGAATAGGGGGAAATAAAAAACTAGTAAGGGGGGCCAGTCATGGTGGCTCACACCTGTAATTCCAGCACTTTGGGAGGCCGAGGCAGGCAGATTGTTTGAGGTCAGGAGTTCAAGACCAGCCTGGCCAAAATGGTGACAGCCATCTCTACTAAAAATACAAAAATTAGCCAGGTGTGATGGTGCGTGCCTGTAATCATAGCTACTCGGGGGGCTGAGGCATGAAAATCACTTGAACTGGGGAGGCAGAGGTTGCAGTGAGCCAAGGTCACACTACTGCACTCCAGCCTGGGCCATAGAACGAGACTCAGTCTCAAAAAAACAAAAAACAAACAAACAAAAAACTAGTAAGGGGCAGACACCTGTAGCCCTAGCTACTTGGGAGGCTGAGGCAGGAGGATTGCTTAAGCCCTGGAATTCAAGGCTGCAGTGAGCTAAGATCACACCACTCCAGTAACAGAGTGAGACCTTGTCTCTAAAAAATAAATAAAATAGTAGGTAAAATTCAGCACCAATGTAGAACATCAGGAATTGAAGTATTAAGAATGCCAATAGTATTAATTACATTAGAATAATTATTTAAAACCAATTTTAAGTCTGTTAACTTGTTAAGTAATGTTTATTGAGCACCCTATGTACCAGCACTGTTCTAAGTACTTCATAGACCTTATTTCCTTTTATCCATACAACAGTCCCACAAGGCAGATCCTATATTATCCCTGTTTAACAGATGAGGGAGTTGAGTGTTAAAGAGGTCTTAAATGAGGGAGAGGTAAACTATAGCTACTAACAAGGTGAGGTGCTTCTCTGCCTTTTCATTCATTTCTACCTCCCTTCCTTTGTTCCTTGCAGCCTGCAAGTGTCACCCCCAGGGCTCAGTCGGATCCAGCTGTAGTCGACTTGGAGGCCAGTGCCAGTGTAAATCTCTTGTGGTCGGGCGCTGCTGTGATAGGTGCTCACCTGGAAGCTATGGTTTGGGGCATCATGGCTGTCACCGTACGTAGCAAAACATACCAGGGGAAACACTTGCTCGCAGTCTTGACATTTTGACAGCAGGCAAAGTCATGGGGGGAGTTTTTAAGGGGAGGAGATTAGAAACTTGACTACATTATTCAGACTATCTATGTAGATAAAATATACTGAACATTTTTTTGCTACACTTCATTCATCCATTCATCAATGGGCCCTGACTGTAGGCAGAGCTGCATTAGGAACTGAGAGTAATGAACAAAGCATAGTCCATGCCTCTGGAAGTTTGCAGTCTGTATCAAATGGATGGTTAAGGTAAAATGTGGAGCACCATGAAGGGAGCTGGCAAAGCCAGCTTGAGGATCTAGCTCACAAGCCCAATGGCTGGAAAGGCTAAAACAATGATAAGATTGGGGAGTCAAGAAAGGGACAATGCTGCCACCACAGACAAGACTTCTCCCAACAAGGGTATCACCCTTTCTGATGCGAGGTTTGCAAACAGCCTTGTAACTCAGTTCCTAAGTCACTCACTGATAAGGGTTTAGATGGGGCTTCATCCACGGCTGATAATCCAGCTCTCATGGTATATAGCTCTCTCTTCACAGTGAAAATCATTAGTGAAAATACTGTTCCCTCAGATTCCTATCTTAGGAACCATGAAAACCTACAGATAGGTTAATTTCCTTTCCAAGTAGGGAAACATATCTTTTCTGTCGTAATTCAGAGAGATGGTTCCCCTTCCTGGGCATTGCTTGGGCATGGTCGCCCACCCAGCCCATCACTGGACCCATCATTGCTTTCTTTTCTTTTAAAAAAAAGTTACAAAATGCCTGAGATACACAAAGGGATCTAGACAAAGGAACAAACATTTCTTCCATATGCCACCCTATCAAATAAACTGGCATCACATTGTGGCACAGGGAAGATTGGCTCAAGGGATTCAACAATTTATCAGAAAAGGATTGGGCCTCTCCCATCTTGTCTAGGAAAAAGAAAACTCTGACCGTGTTAAGATGGGTTCTTACATGGTTTATAATCTAGAGGTTATATTAATACTATACCATTATTATAGTATAGTAGTTATATATACTATATTAATACTATAATATTAATACTAGAGGTTTTATTAATATACCTAAGATATATGGAAGTTTAAGTCGTTAAAAACATGTGACTTGTTTGGTTTCTCTGTATAAACAACAAATGTTCATAAGACCCAATTGTTCGCAACATACTGTTTATCCAGTGACTCAGTGAGTTGTTATTTAACGTTTACCTGGAACTCATTATAAGCTCTGTCCTAAGCACCTTATAGGCTTACTTGGTTCACCGAGCTTGGGACAGGAAACGCGACACCAGAACTGTAACTCTTTCACCACCACACACCACTCATCCCCGCCCCAGCATACTTCTCTTTGCTTTATCCAGCATGTCACTGCCATCCTCAAGGATCAAAGGACACTGTGTGTGACCTAGTAACAGGACAGTGCCCCTGCCATGGAGAGGTGTCTGGCCGCCGCTGTGATCGCTGCCTGGCAGGCTACTTTGGATTTCCCAGCTGCCACTCTTGCCCTTGTAATGGGTTTGCTGAACTTTGTGATCCTGAGACGGGGTCATGCTTCAATTGTGGAGGCTTTACAACTGGCAGAAACTGTGAAAGGTATGGAATTCATATGCACTTTAATTTTCAGGTTTTTGATACTTTGTTCCAGTCTCCTAATGGAGGTCCATTGAGTAGAGACTCAACAATATTTAAGTGTGGGAGGGAGGACTGTTAAAGGTGGGGGAGATCATTGTTTTCTCACCCTTCAAAATCATCTTACGAGCCAGAAAATGTTGGATTAAATCAATAACACACATTTGCCTGGCATGTTACTTTCTATGTTCCTCAAATATGACATGTAAATCGAGTGCTATTACACAGAGTTTAATTGACCATACCTTGAGACTTTTGATTTAAAACCAAAAGTCATTTTGCAGAGCAAATGAACGTCTTCTAAAATATTCAGTTTTCAGAGTTGCACTGTTTTAAAGCATAGCAAATCCTCATTGGCTAACGTGATCTTTTCCTGGGAACATTTTGGTGAAAGGAAATTGTCTTGACAGGTGTATTGATGGTTACTATGGAAATCCTTCTTCAGGACAGCCCTGTCGTCCTTGCCTGTGTCCGGATGATCCCTCAAGCAATCAGTATTTTGCCCATTCCTGTTATCAGAATCTGTGGAGCTCAGATGTAATCTGCAATTGTCTTCAAGGTTATACAGGTATGTGGTATAGTGCTTGATGCAATTTTTTCTCTTTATCCCACACTATAATCTGTAAAATGATCATATATTCATGACTTATCTATCTTGGACAGATGTGTGGTGCAGAAATGGTAAGAAGACACAATGTGATAAATTGCTGCTTTATTGAACAAAGAATTTGAATGATTCACAAATCAATGACTATTAAAACTCA